CGTTTAAGAGTAGGTAGGACATGGTACTCAGTAGTTATTGGCATTTATTAGGGGGCGGAGGAAATATTATTTTGACAATCTATTCACTAATGAGCATGCCAGCTCAAATGATAAAGAAAATACGGGAATCAATTAAGTCAGTCATTCTATAGAGGGCAAAACAATTATTTAGAATTTGGGAAAAGCAATGGAAGAAGTATACATATCGTGGGACATTGTCAGTCTAAAGTTTTATGTCTCTAATAATATAGTACAGAGGGGACTTAGAATGTGAAACGCATTTGGCTGCTTTTTTAATGTATTTTATTATCTATTATTAAAGGAATATTGGCCCCCAATACTGTGCTTGTGCCATTTTTATTTATTTTTTTATAATTTTATTTAACTCTTATCTGGCCATTATAATCTTTGGATTTTTCACTCACTCAAGAATACTAGGTGGGGATTATACCACCTACGCCAATATAGTGAGCAGTATATTCCTGCTCATGTATATGTGAGCATTATACCTTTTATATACCTATCTGTTATTGCCATATACAGAGAGCACTATTTTTTTTATTTCTCTCTATATACTTGTACCTACCAACACCTATATCCTACCAGTGGGGGATCAACGCCACTGAATGCTACACACTCCTGAGCTAGCCATAGCTCTGAAATAGGTGAGTAAGAAGAACTGATATTACCACCACTGCCATCTTCCCATTACAGTTTCACACTATTGGAATTTCTCTCTTCTATCTGCATGTTTCCACATCATCTGGATACCTGACTTCCTCGGATCCCACAAGGTCTATTGATTCTACTTATCTCTTCAATCAAACTTGGACTAGTATCTCTTACACTTTTTATCAGGACATTATTCCTTTTCTATTAATTTTTATATACAGTTGCAAGAAAAAGTATGTGATCCCTTTGGAATGATATGGATTTCTGCACAAATTGGTCATAAAATGTGATCTGATCATCATCTAAGTCACAACAATAGACAATCACAGTCTGCTTAAACTAACAACACACAAAGAATGAAATGTTGCCATGTTTTTATTGAACACACCATGTAAACATGCACAGTGCAGGTGGAAAAAGTATGTGAACCCTTGGATTTAAAAACTGGTTAAACCTCATTTGGTAGCAATAACTTCAACCAAACATTTCCTGTAGTTGCAGATCAGATGTGCACAATGGTCCGGAGTAATTCTTGACCATTCCTCTTTACAGAACTGTTTTAGTTCAGCAATATTCTTGGGATGTCTAGTGTGAATCGCTTTCTTGAGGTCATGCCACAGCATCTCAATCGGGCTGAGGTCAGGACTCTGACTGGGCCACTTCAGAAGGCGTATTTTCTTCTGTTTAAGCCATTCTGTTGTTGATTTACTTCTATGCTTTGGGTCATTGTCCTGTTGCAACACCCATCTTCTGTTGATCTTCAGCTGGTAGACAGATGGCCTTAAATGCTCCTGCAAAATGTCTTGATAAACTTGGGAATTTATTTTTCCTTCGATGATAGCAATCCGTTCAGGCCCTGACGCAGCAAAGCAGCCCCAAACCATGATGTCCCCACCACCATACTTCACAGTTGGGATGAGGTTTTGATGTTGGTGTGCTGTGCCTTTTTTTCGCCACACATAGTGTTGTGTGTTTCTTCCAAACAACTCAACTTTGGTTTAATCTGTCCACAGAATATTTTGCCAGTACTGCGGTGAGACATCCAGGTGCTCTTGTGCAAACTGTAAACGTGCAGCAATGTTTTGTTTGGACAACAGTGGCTTCCTCTGTGGTATCCTCCCATGAAATCCATTCTTGTTTAGTGTTTTACGTATTGTAGATTCGCTAACAGGGATGTTAGAATTTGCCAGTGACTTTTGTAAGTCTTTAGCTGACCCTCTAGGATTCTTCTTCACCTTATTGAGCAGTCTGCGCTGTGCTCTTGCAGTCATCTTTACAGGACGGCCACTCCTAGGGAGAGTAGCAGCAGTGCTGAACTTTCTCCATTTATAGACAATTTGTCTTACCGTGGACTGATGAACAGCAAGGCTTTTGGAGATACTTTATAACCCTTTCCAGCTTTATGCAAGTCAACAATTCTTAATCGTAGGTCTTCTGAGAGCTCTTTTGTGTGAGGCATCATTCACATCAGGCAATGCTTCTTGTGAAAAGCAAACCCAGAACTGGTGTGTGTTTTTTATAGGGCAGGGCAGCTGTAACCAACACCTCTAATCTCATCTCATTGATTGGACTCCAGTTGGCTGACATCTCACTCCAATTAGCTCTTGGAGATGTCATTAGTCTAGTGGTTCACATACTGGTGAATGTTTACATGGTGTGTTCAATAAAAAACATCGCAACATTTCATTGTTTGTGTGTTATTAGTTTAAGCAGACTGTGATTGTCTATTGTTGTGACTTAGATGATGATCAGATCACATTTTATGACCAATTTGTGCAGAAAACCATATCATTCCAAAGGGTTCACATACTTTTTCTTGCAACTGTAAGTACACATTGTTTTTACTGTTTTATTACAGGTTTGGCGCGACCTATATTCTGGTTTGTACTATTGTATAAAAAGCTAGTCAGATATAATAAAAAATTTCTATACTTTAATATATAACAAACTAAGGGATCACTAAAGTGGAGATTGTAGAGACTAGGCAATGGAATAAGGAGTTGGAGAATTTTTCTTATTCTTTTAAATCTACAGGCTATTCTGCATGATTTGTGGTTTAGTGAATACATTCCCATTAGTTGCGTTGATTGTTATGCATTCTGCATTTTAGTTTTAAACATGTTTATTGTTGTGATTTGATGGGATATGACAAGCATTAAAGAACACTATAGTGTCAGGTTTACAAACACGTATTGCTGATGCTATAGTCATGAAGGCTGTTTAAGTTACCGTTCCCCTTCGATCTCAGTATAAATGTGATTTTACTCACCTTTTCTCACACTCTGCGCTGGTCTCGAAGTAGCTGCTCTCACCTGGCTTTGCCTCCATGTCTGAGAGAATCAACCTTGATGAGGATAGGAAAGCATTGGGAGGCTATTGCACATGCGCAGCAAAATGCAGCTCTGTACTGATCAGCACTTCCTCATAGAGATGCATTGAATAAATGCATCTTTTTGGGGAACAATTAGCATCTCCATGCAGAATGGAGACACTGAACGCCAGTTCTGCACACTGTGCAGCACTGGACTAAGGGGCACCTCTAGTGGCCATCTGAGTTACCCAGATAGCAATCCAGTGAGCTGCAAGTTTGAAAATGACTTGCTATGCTATTGCTTGACTTGCCAAGCTTCACAAGTTTGTGGCACATTTGCTTACAGTCTGCATTGCAAGTCTCCAGATCAACTTGCTTTGCAAATTTGCTGCAAGTCTGCTACAAGTTCTTCTTCAGGTTAAAAGGTTGGGTGCAATGTGTACATCCCACCACAGAGGTCAGTGTGAGGGGCTGACATTCCATCTCATTGCTGTGTGTAAGCTTTACTTTCTATGGTGCTGGCAGCCATTTTATAATCACTTTGGAGGCTGTGGAAGAGAGCTGAGTGGGAACTATGAGTTCTGATATAGAGTTCAGGGAGGATAGAAATCAAGGAGTAACTAAACATAATACTACATTGGTGTAGCACAGTTTGGAATATTTAAGTTTTCCTCATTTATGTGCCTAGATTTTGCTTAACAGGGGCTTAAAGCAACATGCAATCCTTCTGAGAAAACTGTCTCATTCAGTAGCTCTATAACTAAATTGGCTGCAAAGCAGTCACCTTTACTTTCATAAATAAAATGTTTGTTTTAAAACTTTCACTCTTTTTAACTTTATGTGTACACCTAACAAACCCTTGGTATCTAAATATTTCACATTTAATGACATTATTAACTGGAATAGCTCACTAAAACAAATCACGTTTTAATAAAAATATTTACCTTAAAGCATTAACCCCTTAAGGACTGAGCAAAATGTACACGTTTTGATCAAAATAAAACGTAAACAAAACCTGGCATTTGACTATATGTCTGTCCAGCTGTAATTCACCTCTTTCATATTAAGTGCACCCACACATATTGTATATAATTTTATTCAGAGGAAACAGGGTTGTCCTTTAACATCAAATATTTAGCTATAAAACATAATTTAATATGAACAAAATGCAAAAAAATGTGAGAAATTAAGACATTTTGTTATTTTTTATTAGTTCTGCATGACATTTTAACAGTGAATGTCATAATACTGTTTGCTTTTACTGCAATAAAATACACATATTTGTAGTCAGCGATGTCTCACGTGTAAAACTGTACCCCCCATGTGTAGATTTTATGGTGTTTTGGGAAATTCCCTACATTGGCTTCCTATAAAATATAGAGCTCAATTTAAAATTCTGGTTCTTGCTTTCAAATCGCTAAATAATGCTGCTCCCACCAATCTAACCTCCCTTATATACAAGTATGTCCCGTCTAGGCCCTTACGATCTGCGGAAGACTTACGTCTATCTTCTGTCCGTACTCCCACCTCTGATGCTCGCCTTCAAGATTTCTCGAGGGCTGCACCGTTCCTGTGGAACTCGCTTCCCTCCTCCGTTAGATGCTCACCCAGTCTCCACTCCTTCAAAAAATCGTTAAAAACCCACTTCTTCATAAAAGCGTATCAATTAAACTGTTAATAGCTCCTGACTGATTCCTCTTCTGCAACTGTCACTAGTCTAATACTATCCTTACCTTTTTGTGTCATTTTACCCCACTCCTTCTAGCATGTAAGCTCATTGAGCAGAGCCCTCAACCCCTCTGTTCCTGTGTGTCCAACTTGTCTGGTTATAACTACATGTCTGTTCGTCCACCCATTTTAAAGCGCTGCGGAATTTGACGGCGCTCTATAAATATAATAATAAGAATAAGAATAATAATGGTCAAATGTAGAGTGCTCAATAATTCCAACAGGGCATATAAAGTTGCTCTCGGTAATATGTCTGAATCTTACTGATTCCGCTCTTTTTTCTTTCTAGCTCCAGCAAGAGAGGATAGAAAATGGGCAGCTGTTCTGCAGTGGATGGCAGACATATCTGGAAGACTTGAAAAAATAGTGGAAAAATTGGAAGCCATAGCACAAATACATGTACCAGTAGCAGAAGAAGATGACACATCCATTTTTAGTCTTCTGGCCCTGAAGTCTTTGGACGACTTTGAAAAATTGGAAGATGCTTTGAAAACAAGCAAATCTCTGAAAAATAAACTGGTAAGCTCTTAAGCTGAGGTGTATCCCTTTAGTTTGGCTACAGTTAGACTCAATGTGCCTCTTTAACACAGTAATTGGTCCAATTGGGGATTCATTTATAGTGCAAAAGATGTAATAACAATACAGTCTTCTTTACACAATGATATGGTGTTGTGCCTTTGCAAAATATCTCTTTAATTACAGACATGTTTTTTCCTTGTTGTCTAAGCTTGTAAAGTACTCGATCTTTAACATTTTATTTTAGTAATTCTTATTTTGATCTGGAAATGTATACTTACCAATTGGAACGGAAAATAATTTACTTGCTAAATGACATTGTTAGACAATCATTATATATATATATATGTGTGTGTGTGTATGTTATTACATAAATTTTCTTATTTTGTAGATAAGAGTCCTCAAGAGCGTTGGAGGGAAGAATGAGCATTTACTTTTATGCAATATGATGCGACGATTAATGGAGGATAATGTTGCTGAAGTCTATAATCTTTCCGGAACCTCGACTAAACATGCTGAAAGAAGGGCCTTTGCTGGTACCCAGATATGCAATTCAGTTCTTGGTGAGTCAAACTTTATGTGTTTATAATCTTCAACAGTTACATGGTTTTTAGGTAAAGTGAAATTTGTGGCACTGTACAAACCACATACTTGTACATGTATATTTAAAACCTTATGAGTTGTATGATTTATTGGAATACGTCACTGATGTGTACATGAATTTAAGTGAGCAGTTATCTTAGTGCAACATTACGTTGAAGTGTTTTCAAATTCTTAATAGTTGATTTTTTTTAGTATTAAAGATAGATAATTTTCAGAATGCAAAAGACCTATAAAATACAGTTCTTATTTGTTGACATTTGGAATATTGGTATTTAATCCTAAATTGAATATATTTCTAAAGTGAGAGGTTATCTCTAAAGGCACGTTATTTCATTACATATGGATATATGTCTGTTTTTCATATACTTGATTATTTAAAAACTGTTTGTCGAACAGTTTTTAAAGATGGTACAGACTACGATATGAGAAAATATATTGGCGATTGGCTTAACCAAGCCCACACACGAATTGTTCGTAGTTGCAGGTAGGTAGTCTTTTTTTTTTTTTTAATTGAGCCTACCGAGCCACCTCTTTTCAATTTACTTTAACTTGTTTGTATAGCCTTATTGATAAGGCACTTAGTTGTAAATACCGCTAGTGCGTAAATTATTTCTTTATAATGCACCCTACAGATTCCAATTAGAATCATTAACTTGGATTTTGCTAAAGAAATGGGTGCACATGAAAAACATAATGCACCTGAGACGGTTGGGTCCTGGCGGCTCTGCACCAGCGTGGCACAGTTCAGAACTTCAACCACCAGTGGGATTCTATGTCTCTCAGCCTATACCTCTCTGCTATGAGAGCGGCTCTTTTCTGCAGATGCACAATATTTCCGTAATGATGTGGCTGGGAATTAAGGTGTACTAAGAGGCATTATTAAACAGTAATGCAAGAAATATAGGCTCCTATTCTAAGTTGGTAACTAATATTTCCAGGTGATAGTGGCTCCAGTGGCAAATAATGGCTGCTTGCTATTACTTTGTATAAGACTCAGAAATGTAGTGGTAGCTGCAGAATAATGAGTGATTCTGAGTTGCTCATTATTTTCTAAGAAGTCAAGAAAATAGAAAATACTGACTCCCAATCACAAAATGTCCAACTCAACTTAGATGTCAGAGTGGAGAATGAACCAAGCTTAGCTGAGTTTTAAGCACCCATATTGGATATTATCCCCTCTTACCTTGTTTAAGACTGCCAATGTCCTAATCCGTTACCAGTTGAAGCTGAGAGTTAATATATCTATTGTTTAAAATACTCTATTTCCAGTATTTAACACTGAAGTTGAACTGCTGTTAGCTAGTACTGTTTATCTCTAGAAATTATATTTCGATGCTATGTAATAATTGTTGTTGTTTTTATTTTCACAGGTCAGCTCCAGATCCAAGTCCATAAAACAGATGCAGATTACATATTTTGTTTGTCTTGAAAAATGTAATTATTCTTTGACTGTTATCGTTATGGTTATATGTTTAGTAATGTTTTGGTAAATGTTCTTTTTCATGTTTGGCAAATGTTCAACCTAATAAAAATGTAACTGTTTGTAAGATGTAATGCTTTGTTATATATTGATTTTATTAAAATATTTTAATGAATATTTTTATGTTTATCATTTTTTTCCCTAATGCACTATTGAGGTTTGCAGTTTTTTCACATTTAACAAAAGTAAGATTAATTTATCCATGTCAGTAATGGCATAAAATTTGTATTTGATTTTCAGATTTACATACAACGTGCACAATTGCATACAATATATTTTATTCCTGTGCTGTAACTAATAAATAGATGGATAATTAAGACATTATTAATTTAATGTTGTTAAAGATATAAAACAGTCAGTTTAAAATAAATATATTACCAGAGATAATACATAACTATATAAGTATATAACAATACCTAAGGTAAATAACTGTACTATTATACCTGGGATATTAGTTTAATAAACTTAAATAATAGTCAAGTAATAATCAGGTAATGTATGCAATTAAAACTTTTAAAAATATGACATTCACAAAAGTAAACTTACTGGCTTAAAGTAAATTTGTAGATACAATTTATATAAGGTTGCTAGTCATTAAAAAGTGAATTGGAAAATTCTAGGCTGAAATAACTGAACTAGAAATATTTGAATGGGAATGGTTTTTAGGTTCAGCCATATATTTGGTTAGATTTTAAAATTCTCCTTGCCTATTCACTTTTTAGTGAATAGACCCTATAAAAACTTGCAGGGCTCTTGCTGTAGACTTGCCACAGCAATTTTGCTCTTGCTGTAGTCTTGTAGGGCACTTGCAGTAGACTCGCAAGGCTCTTGCTGTAGACTTGCAGGGCTCTTGCTGTAGACTTTCCACAGCAATTTTGCTCTTTCTAGAGACTTGCAGGGCTCTTGCTGTAGATTTGCAGGGCTCTTGCTGTAGACTTGCCACTGCAATTTTGTTCTTGCTGTAGACTTGCCACTGCAATTTTGCTCTTCCTAGAGACTTGCCAAGCAAGTGTGCTACAAATTTAAAAAGTGTCAACTAGAACTTGAGCTGCAAGAGCTCTGCTATTGAATCACTTGCCAGTGAAAATGTGCAGCAAGTTAAACAGACTTACAGTTTAAGTCTTCCACACATTTGTGGCAAGTTATCCTTGCTATCTGGGAGGGTTAGGGTTGGGCTAGGATTAGGGTAGGGTTGGGTTAGGAGTAGGGTTAGGGTTAGGTTAGGATTAGTGTTAGGGTAGGTTTAGGAGTAGGGTTAGGATTAGGGGTAAGCTTGGGTTAGGAGTAGGGTTAGGGTTGGGCTAGGATTAGGGTAGGGTTGGGTTAGGAGTAGGGTTGGGTTAGGAATAGTGTTAGGGTAGGTTATGGGTTAGGAGTAGGGTTAGGGTTTGGTTTAGGAGTAGGGTTAAGACTAGGGATGGGTTAGGAGTAGGGTTGGGTTAGGAGTAGGGTTAGGTTTGGGTTAGAAGTAGGGTTAGGGTTAAGAGTAGGGTTAGGATTGGGTTAGGAGTAGGGTTAGGGTAGGGTTAGAGTTGGGTTAGGAGTAGGGTTAGGGTTGGGTTAGGAGTTGGGTAGGGTTAGGAGTAGGGTTGGGTTAGGAGTAGGATTAGAGTTGAGTTAGGAGTAGAGTAGGGTTAGGGTTAAGAGGAGGGTTAGGAGTAGGGTTAGGTTTAGGAGTAGGGTTAGGGTAGTGTTAGGAGTAGGGTTAGGGGTAGGTTAGGATTAGGGGTAGAGGTACCCTTCCCTAAACCTATTTTTCCAGAATTGGCAGATTAAAGAGCAGTCCCACCATATGTGAGTAGTCAAAACTTGATCCCATGTTATCAGAAGTCATAAAAATCATTAAACCCTAAGACCCAGAGAGCAAATTACAGAAAAAGAGCAGGGATGTACATGGGCCAAAAATTCGGTTTGGTTTGGCATTCTGAAATTCGGCACTTTGGCAATTCGGGACATCGGCACTTTGATTCGGTACTTCCGAAATTAGGGAATTCGGCACTTCGGCTAAATGTAGGGTTAGGGGTAAGGTTGGGTTAGGAGTAAGGTTAGGGTTAAGGTAGGGTTAGGATTAAGGGTAAGCTTGGGTTAGGAGTAGGGTTAGGGTTCGGCTAGGATTAGGGTAGGGTTGGGTTAGGAGTAGGGTTAGGGTTGGGTTAGGAATAGTGTTAGGGTAGGTTTAGGGTTAGGATTAGGGTAGGGTTGGGTTAGGAGTAGGGTTAGGGTTGGGCTAGGATTAGGGTAGGGTTGGGTTAGGAGTAGGGTTAGGGTTAGGAATAGTGTTAGGGTAGGTTTAGGGTTAGGAGTAGGGTTAGGGTTTGGGTTAGGAGTAGGGTTAGGGTTAGGACTAGGGATGGGTTAGGGTAGGGTTAAGAGTAGGGTTAGGAGTAGGGTTAGCGTTAAGAGTAGGGTTAGGATTGGGTTAGGGTAGGGTTAGAGTTGGGTTAGGAGTAGGGTTAGGGTTGGGTTAGGAGTAGGGTAGGGTTAGGAGTAGGATTAGAGTCGAGTTAGGAGTAGAGTAGGGTTAGGGTTAGGAGGGTTAGGGTTGGGTTAGGAGTAGGGTTAGGGTAGGGTTAGGTTTAGGAGTAGGGTTAGGGTAGTGTTAGGAGTAGGGTTAGGGGTAGGTTAGGATTAGGGGTACAGGTACCCTTCCCTAAACCTATTTTTCCAGAATTGGCAGATTAAAGAGCAGTCCCACCATATGTGAAGAAGTGTACCCACCCCCATCTGTCTCCTCCAGCATAAATTATCAATAGATATCAATAGGCTCAATCGTGTGTGAAGTTGCAGTTATTTGTACCAGAAGGAGAGCAGCTTATAGGCAGACTCTTGAAACCTTCTAGAAATCTCACAATATTTTGTCAGGTCACATTTTTTGTGCCATTATTTTGGGGTAAAAGTTATACCCAGAGCCTCCTCCCATTTTCCCATAAAGCTAGACAGGGAAAACCTCCTTTGACATTGAAGAGTGGCATATAGGGCTGCTATCTCGTGCTCAAGTGGGTCAGATTCAACACAAATGGTTTCAAATTATGTGAGTTCTCTGGTAAGGAGTGGGAGTTGAGGGATTGAGTAGAGGAATTCCATCAGTTGTCTATATCGAAATTGCTGCATGATGTATTAACATCTTCTGTCTTTTGGACATTTTGCAATTCAGCGATTCCGGGTGCTCATTAATTCTATGAATCATATTATTGTATTTCAACTAATTATACAAATCTAGGCACCCTTTCAAAGCAGCTGGAGTTATTTCTTATGTCAGACTCTCAGATTTCAATGTTTCCTTGAATTCTTATAAAGACTTCAATGACATTATACACGTAATAATAATGGGATGATCATGGGAAGGCGTTTACTAATCAGATTGGTAACCACTTCTCTAATGAGTACTTGCACCATAAAATGCAACATGTTTCCACCCCTAGAAAACCAAACACGAATAAGAAGCTATTGAATAAGACATATATTGGGGATGGCATTTTC